ACATATATTTTGAAAATAAATATATGCTTCCAAATGTTGTGAAACTTTATTTTTATATGTATAACCACTGGACACAYACATCCTCATAGTCATACATAATATATAATTAGTATAAAAACTTAAGAATATAATTGAAAACTTGGTCATGTTGGTGCATGCATATAATCCCAGCAGTTCAGGAGACTGAGACAGGAAGATTTCAAGTTCAAAGCTAGCCTCAGCAACTTGTCAAGACCCTGTCTCATTATAAATAATTAAAAGGACTGGGTAGCGCACTCGTCTGGCATGTGTGTGGCCCAGGTTCAATTCTCAGCACCACATACAAACAAAGATGTGTCCGCCGAAAACTAAAAAACAAAACTTCTCTCTCTCCTCTCTCTCTCTCTCTCTCTCTCTCTCTCTCTCTCTCTCTCTCTCTCTCTCTCTCTCTCTCCCCGTCTCTCTCTCACTCTCTAAAAAAAAAAAAAAAAAAAAAAAAAAAACAAGGGCTGGGAGGTTGCTCAATGATTAAACAGCCGTGGTGTCAATTCCTGACAACAAACCAACAAATAAAAGAATAAAAATTGAAACATGTATTTGTGAACAAAACAAAAGAGGAAAGGAGGGAGATTAATATTCAAAATATTTCAATGAATCTTGCCTACCATATTCAACATATTTCCCACAGTTATTGACTTATGTGCATGTGTATCAGTTTTATAAAATCATTCATATCTACCTACCTATCCTATACCATATTTTGCATTTTATTTTTGTTGTCTTAATGTGAATGTTTTTATTAGTCTTCTATGGAATTTCTGTGCAGACTACTTTGGGCTTTATCTAAGTGTACTAAATGTTAAAATAATCTGAAGAAAAGAATTTTAAATCAACAAGAAGCAACATGAAGAACTTCCATACACAATGCAGATGCCCCCAGGGTCCCTGTGTTCCTATTGCAATGTTCAGAATCACAGCGAACATCATAATGCAGTTATAAGGACTCTCTATGCTTCCTGTGTTCTCAGAATTCAAGAAACTTTTCCTGGGCTAGCTGACTCTTTGGATGAAATTGCAATTTGCAGAGCAGAATAATTATGAATCTTAGATGCATTTGAACTCTACATGCCAAGTACTCACTCCTGAGTGTCACCTGTTCTCCACGATGGTGCAGAACTGCATCTCTCCTTGGCTTCTCCCATCACTGTGTGTGCAGCCAGGGTGGATCTGTCCAGTCAGTCCAGTGCCATGTGTTATGTGGGGAGCACAGTCATCACTGGTTTATGTGAATCTGGTGCCAGGCTAGTGGGAACAAGGACCCTGGGAGCGCAGAGCTCAGCCTGCAGGGCCAGCACGAGGCCTGAGCACACCACCAGGCAGTGGAACCTGCAGTGTCCAGGAGAGAGGACTAGGCCAAAGGCCAGTATGGACAGTGGACGACACATGAGACCTCCTCTGCTGGCCATTGCCCTAAGTCATTTTGGAGAAACTAATG